TGTGATTGGGTCTGCTTGTGGGCATTTTGCGTCACTGTCCGTCTGAACGAATCTTGTCCGACTCTGTTTACTCTGCTCATCTATCTGTTTTGACAGGGCGGTGAGTTCTCCGTTTTTGAAGCACCGTGATTATAATGTGTATTTGACACAGACGAGCGCCGTCCTGTTCTCATCTGGAAGTACATTGACGAATGTCCGAACACTCCAGACATTTCAAGACTCGCATATATTTTACCACGTCATTAATAGCGCCATATCCCAAGACAATTTGGTTTTCATTGATGCGAGGCATAATGCGGCATCTTATGGTCCAGTTCNNNCAACAAACCATAACAAACACAAACTTACAATAAGAGGTGCAATGTGAACAGACCATGTGTCCGACAAAAGCACAATCGGATGGCCCGCTGACCGCGGGAGGACGGAATGAGTTGCTGCGGAATCGGAGCGAAATATGGCCATGGACAGATTGGAAATGGCCAACGGCATATCCGGATAGAGTGTGCAATGAACCGCGCGATTGATATGCAATTCGATTTGTACTCGCTGCGGTGTTTTCCGTTCACAGTGCTGAAATTCGCACATTGGAAAGGAAAAAGGAACCGCTTTTGTTGTTCTTGTTGTATTATCGACGCGAATTCATAAGTTGCATGCATTGTATGTTAGCACGGAATGGAGAGTGGTCATATTAGGATACGTCTATAGATGGCTGTCCCAATCAGGAAGCGTTTACGGTCAACAAAAATGATCACAAAATAGTGACAGGAGAATATGACGCTCGGGGGAAAATGGCACAGACTACGTATACACCATACTTTGAGCCAATATGGACAGTTGGATACAACTCAGTGAACAGATTTTCTAACTTTGGAAGGTCCTGGGATGATCGTGGTCATTTCATAAAAGAACAGCAAGATTACTAGGTATGATAGCAAAAGGCAAAACCATCAAAGTTGGATAACACCGAAATGGACAGCCAGAAGTAACTACGAAATAACAGTTTATCCGAATTATTTCGTTCACGTGGATAAAATATCACGCGGTGTACAAATCCAGTGATAAACTCATCACGACCAATCATTGCCATGATCAAAGTCTATAGTCAATCGGAATAAGCACCAGGATGCATTAGGCAGAAATCCTCCCCCACCCCTTCTCAACCATTATGAACGACGACATGCGCTCTGTTTTAGCAGCATGCACATCTCATTCTACTTTTAGTCATCCTAATAAATAATCCACACGCACAATCGCAGTCACCTATCAATCTTAACGAGAGGGAAATTCGGCGGTGAACTGGGATGCCTCCCTAAAAGCTGCACCTTTGCTACTGGACTAGATCTCGGGGCATTCAGTTTCAGTTTTTACAATCAATTAACCACGCACTTTCGTGCGCCGAATGTGGTTGTTGTCTTTTGGTCGCCCATTTGGATGAAAGAGAAGGATGAAGATTTGAAAGACGAAAGCAAATTCAAGTGGAAGATGGAGAACTCATATGGACTGGCGTTAAGAGAATAATGAGTAGATGCACGTGTGTGACACTCAGCGATATCACGCAGTCTCTAACCTCCGGTTACTACCATTTCGGGGTCTCCAGCCATGTAGCCTAACGGGACCTATGTGACCCAGTCTCCTGGTTTGGGTTTTCACACCCTCATGCCAGATCTTCGTTAGACCGCCTTGACCATTTTCAAACCTCGGCAACCTATCTGGTGACATGCGTAACACATATTCCAATCAAGGTAATCTATGGAGGTCGACTAGCTGCTCCAGTGAACGACCGCATAGCATGAAAAGACGTTTCTCAAAAGTGATCCATAGAAAAAGAAAAGTCACCATTGATTTAACGGTCGACGGTCCAGTTTAAAGACAAATTCAACAAAGATTCATCACAGTTTCTTCATGCGAGTGCGTCCATACTAAAAAAATTGCGGTAGCCACCGAACAATTGACGGTATAAACATGGTGCCCGTAATAAGCACTGACAGGGGTTGATATCCGTTCGGGTAGATGAAGGCCTATTCCGAGTGAGAAACAAACAAAAACGGTAAGATTTGATATGATTTACCCCAGTTCTTTGTTAGACTTTAAATCTCATCTATCATAATGATGATGATTAGCGACGGTGTTAATCCAAAGTTAAATATAATTCTGTTCAACTTACACCTGAGTGAACGCCGCCGCCTTAGACGCCTATGTGACCGACGAGGTGCTACAACGAGCCGTCGTTAACAGTACACCACTAATGGCGGCTGAGAGTTTGCAATGCAAGCGGAAATCGTCCACCATAGGGACGGGGTTGAAATTCCAAGGTGCCCAAATGCACCTCGATTCCCAAACAAACTGGTAGCCACAGCCAGAGTCAATGTGTGAGTTTCTTTTTATTACAGACCCACGTGTGATGAGCAGCAGACCGGGCGAACCCCATGGTCACGAAGACCTGCTATTCAGTGGTGGAAACAGACAACCTAAGCCCCGGAACTTGGAGTGGTGAACCACAAAGGCCCCGATAGGTCAAGCGTGTTATTGAACCGGATAACAGCAGAGCTGCCTACCACCAAAGTCGGGTGGCGGGGCTTGAACCTCGGACCAAAGGGTTCAAAGCACGCCGGTGACAGCGACTAAACCACTGCAACACCACCACGGTGTGGTTCACACACAACTTTTTGGTCAGATTGCAATCCGGATTCGTCGTCAACACACCTAAGTGAACCAGAGGTTAACCGACCCAGTTATAACCCTGGATGCTGGATTCCTTTGTGGGGAAACGATTCTGCAATATGAAGGTAGTGAGAACGGTTTCCTCATAAGAGTCGATTCGAGACGCTTGGTCGTATCGGAGTGTTTCATAAAGTGTGAAAAAGGTGATCAATCAAATGCCAAAACACCCATTCATGACCACAATAGCTCTCAGGAACATATAGCTTACATATGCTTATTGTTCTGGCTATCTGGATCCAAAATTAACCATCTGAGACAGTTGACCGCAGCACACTTTGGAGGATCCGTCAGAAACATTGTCAAACCCGGGTTTCGAATTGATCCGGCTAATCACAAAAGTAATGTTCATTTGGTTTTAAATGGATGCCGCTCTTTTTAGCTTTATTTTGAATATTAATTAAGGAACTACATCGACACAGGTAATTATGATGAACTTTTGAAAGGTAATTTGTCTTACTTGAAGGTCATGACGGAGAAGATAAAAGTGATCGAACGGTTGGTGGACATTTCGCACTATCAATGTATGAAAGGCTGTTACTGGATTTGGTCGATTGTGCTCGACCGGAGACTAACTTTACAAAGTGGAGAGGAACAAAAGACATCATCCTGCTTACAGAAAAGGTAGCTTTGGTTGCGTTAGCCTGGAATATTTGTTAGGTTAGAGACGCTGAATGATATCGCTGAGTATCGTACACAGTGGCGTTCGTGAATCTTAATTTCTTTGCAACCTTAGTTCACTGAAATTGTCCTTTCTAATTCGAGTCTCCAGTTTCCTGTCTTTCTCCTACTGCTTCATCCAAATGGGCAGTAATCGAAACCGGTGCAAGAAGGTGAACGGTCAAGGGTTGTAAAAAGTGAAGCTGACATCGACTCGGTTGTCAAAGCTTGAGTATGACTGTGAAGCTTCGATCAGTTTTTTGGTTCATGGAATAGGACGGTCATGTAAAATGTAGAGACGAATATCATTGTCCGAAAATGCATGTCCTCATAGCGTTTCAAATGTCGCATGCGATTATCAAACCATCAAAAATGATGTTAAACAGATGTTAGAAAGTCGGGCATTGAACTATGTAACTGGCCAAGATTCATCACCTAAGTTCTAACATACCGCCCATATAGATTTTCTATTTCAATGGGATTCACTAAGAACCGCAACACAAAACCAAAAACGGTGGTGCAACAAGCTTCATGAATTATGTGAACTGCGTGGGAAACAGTTCACAAAATGCACGGACTACCCGCCAAACCACTTTACACGATGGAACGAACCTATTCATTTGATCTCAGATAAATCAAAGTGACTGCGTGTCAGACCTACATTAGAAAATGGATCTGATTAAGTGCTTAAGGTGTCAAACGCGCCTGATGGTGGCATGCGTAACAAAGTAGAACAGAGGATGACTTACCTCAGGCGCGCTTGAGTCGTCAAATCGCGGTCGAACAAGACGCAAAGAAACAAACTCCGCACCCATCCCGGTCCGAGGATCCGGCTCGGAAAGCTCGGTTGTGAGCAGATAATCGTGATGAGAAACAGCCCCGACTGTGCTCACATTGCCTGTTTTGCGCGCGTTGAACAACGGCGGCAAGAGTATAGTCACAGGGGTAGCAGCAGCGAATGACGGCAAAGAATGACTATACACTGGTGGTGTATATTTAGACCCACCGATTTCAGTCATTCGGATAGATGTACTACCCAGTGCACGGAGGCCCAGATCCATCTCAACGGAAGAAAACGGAGAAGTAGAAAAGCAGACTGAAGTAGACTTTATAACTCCAAATGATCTTAAATGATTCATGCGCGAACATTTGGTCATGGTGGTTATTATCCACATGTTAACGCCATTATGTCACTCCAAGAAAATTGGCAATTGTGACAGCCTGGAATGATTCTAATTATTAGCTATCAGGACTTTAATTAAGCGACCACTGATGCATTGAGGAGGGGGATGCAAAGAATACTTGAAAATTTAGAAATGCAATGTAGATTAAACAAATTTAAGAAATGTCTTATTACTTTCCTTTTTATTTATTGAACATAAAAATGTACAGTTAACATTCAGGAAAGGGGTTGCAGCCATACAGAGATGCCTGGGGATATACAGAAAAAGGGAAGACGATATTTAATTACTTACAAGAGTAAAAGGAGTGCACCATATACACAGAATGACCTATTGCTGCGTTACGGTGACTGACAACCTAGGCCTTGAGGTGTAAAGTAATAATATTGACAATTTTTTATTTACTAAGTACATCAACGTGAACAACCAAAGTCGGATTACAGCAATAAAGAAGTGAGGAAGATTGATGGCTGCGACGGGGGTTTGAATTCACGACTTCCACGGTCACTGATAGAATGCCTTGACCGCTTGATCACTACAGCGAACTACGGATAGAGTCAATAGGGACAGAGCCCGATCTAGCCCAGCGAGAGGTTATCGGACAGTCACGGTGGTCTAGCAACTGCTTCGACCATGAGCAGAACCAGTGGTATACCCAGCGGTGATCACTGTTATTCTTGGTACCTTGCTCCGCTGTAACTGTTGGAATTTCCTGCCGCTCTGTTCTGCACCCCAATCACCCCATCTTTTATTGTTATTGTTGTTGTGTCGGTAACATGCTTGTTCACGAGTCAGTGATAAACATATCTAACATATATTGTTCGCAAATATTTTGGTGCTTTTGACCAGTTTGGCAAAAGACTGCTGTCTGAAGCTACCTACTGTCTGCACAATACAATCCTTCAAGCGATCTCTAATGACCGTGTTCGATATATATATATATATATATAATAACTTTCCATTTCTAGGTTCACTTTTAAATATCCGGATGCAGTAGACAGAACGAATTTCAAGGTTGAAAAACTCCAATACCGTTGGACAGCAAGAATTACGGACATCTCTCATAGGCAGATCAGGTTCAAACAAATTGAAAGTAGAAGTAAAAGGGAAGAAATTGCATCGAAATACAAACCCATGACAAAAAAACTTCGCCATCATTGTTGTACAGCGTAATACAATGAAGTGTAAGGAGAATAGGGATTCGGCATATTCTGAGGGATGGGGAAAAAGCCAACCTCTATGTTCAACACAGAGTACACAGTCCAACTGTGCAAACACAAAAATTCTGAACTGACAAGAAGTTACAGCAAGATCACCACTGCAGTCGGTGTACTGCCACGACCATCAGTTCATCCAACCATCCAGTTACGGATTCTTTTCCATCCTTAACTGGAAGGTGAGAGACACCTACTCTATCTAATCGCTCTATGCATTTCTGCAAGCCTCGTCTCCAAATGATCTG